CCCTGTTGAAATTTGCATTTTCCATATATACTTTTTCTCATTTAAATTTAATTTCTGTATTTTTTTTGTTGGCTTTAAATCAGTGTTTAGTTTTGAACCAGCTTTGAATTTGCCTTTTGTTCTTTTGGCTTATAATTATCTTTTAGTTTATCTTATTCTACTGCTGTTACGTTCTCAACCATCCATGAGCTGGATTAGAAGAGCTGGTGATCAGTGTGTGACCTTGTCACCCAGCATGCACTACTTCATCAGACTGGGGTTTAATAAATACGGTGGCTCCTCTCTTTACAATGTTCTGGTATCCTATAAATTGGTTTGTTTTATTTGCCTTTATTTCTATGTCGGCATTTTAAGAACAATTCCCAAATTTATTTGGTAACACATTGTTATCAAATGAGCCTAATGGTAATTAGGAATAGCTAGACTAATTCCCAACAAGTTACGACTTCATAAGTACGAATCTTCGGAAATGATGAGAAATGTCTACATTTAAATAAGGAGAGTGTCCACTCTGTTGGGGGTGGAGGGCTGTCCTCTGACCAAGGGGAACATGTGGGAATAGTCCCATTCCACATGCTGCCTGATTTTAAGATCGCACCAAGCCTGTCATCGTGCTGCCCAGTCTTCAAGGGGGCTGAAAGACGCTGTGAATAGAATCAGAAGGGACACATTTTTGTGTAGGCTTAAAGAAAAAAGCGAGACCCCCCCCTCCCCCCGCCCGCCATGTCTCCTGGTTTTATTCGCGGCACAGAAACATTCCACACAGACCCTCCTCCCCCCTGCCCTGCACGCCAGGCTCCTGTTGTCATGTTACAGACGGTGTCAGAAATGCTGCGGTGAAATTCAGCCTGTGGGTTTCAGAGATCTGGAGCGTTTTCTCGGGAGGAGGGATCCACACACAAAAACACCATTCGGAATCCCTGTGGTGACTGGGAGGTGAGGAGAGGATGAAGCCTAGGGAAGGTGGGAAGGGAAAACGCAGGCATCTTTCTCTCCCTCCCTCCTCTTCTCCATAGGGCTCCTGAGTGGTGGAGCTAAGATGGAGGTGACTTAGGGAGTGGGCTGGCTCCAGACACACACACCGCCTGGGGAGGTGATGGGGGCGTGGACACGGAGGTTTGTGCTGAACTTTACAGTGTGTGAGCGCTTTCACGTTATCTCATAGGGGTAGGTCAGTGGCTCCTGAGCCATGCTATAGTCCTAGAAATCAGATTTCAGAGTGGTTAAATAAATTTCCCAAGAGCTCACAGTTTCAGAAGAAGGGTTAGAGCCACATCCAAATCCGAAAATTTGGCGTTGGAAGGCCCCCGTGCCTAAAACATCTCCCTCTCTTGGTTCATCTTTGACGTCTCAAGGTCTACTCTTTAAAATTAATTTCTTTGGGAACTTATGGATTTTTTTCTCCCACAGGGCATCCGCATTTTCTTTCTTTAGGAAGCGTGATGCCCGAGCGCGAGTTAGTCAATTGGCTGCTTTCCATCTGAGAGCAGCTTCCTATAGTAGGAGCTGCTCAGTAGGCAGGGAAGGAGGGGGCTGGAGAAGACCAGGCATGGTGGGCAATTGTAGGCCACCCACAGGCCTGGGCTCTTGGGGAGGTGATGGCTCACCTGTAGGGGTGTGGGAGGCGGTCCAGAGAAGGCGACCCAGAAGGCCACTAGAAGAGAAAGCAGGAGGAAGGCACAAGGTCCATTTCCTTCCTTTTTACTGGGCCAGCGAAGGCCTGTCCAGGGCCCTTGTGGTTCCAGCTGGCATTTGGCACAGAAGAAAACACTGAATTCCTTGTAGCCATTATTGAGGCTTCAAGGTTTGGCACCTCTGTGTTAGCAGCACTTTAGGAACAGTTGAGCCAGAAGTGGGATGTGTTCCCTGCAGACCTGTAATTCTAGGAACTGCATTGTTTCCTAATGGGATCACTGGTTATGGACTCGTGGAGCTGGAAGGGGTTCCACAGTGGGAGAGAAAGCTAGAGGTCCTGCAGTCAGCAACTGAGACCCAGAGGGATGGGGGCTTGCCCAAGACCACATGGCCAGTTAGCTTCCTCACAGCTGCTGCCATCAAAGGTAACTGCAAAACCCTAATGGGGCAGGCTGGGGAGGGAAGGTGGAAAACATTCTGTCAAGCTCTCCTCAGAAAGTTCTCTATCCTTCCAGAAATTAAAAAATGTGACGACTGAAGGGGGCCTGGGACGCATTTTTAAGTGATTTGGTGGTGTGACCAACATTTGAGTCCTTCCAGTTTGCTCTTCCTGTCTGAATGGCTAACAGCAGTAGCAGCAAGAAACTCTTACAGAAAACTTAGCTCTAAACGCCAAGGCCGTTCCTCTCTCTAAATATAGCGTACAACAAGAGACAGGCATTTGCATGTAGTAGTTCTCTATTAATTTTCCCTTTGTGCTTCCAAATCAGCTAAGGGGCCGCACACTGTTCAGAGAAAGCCTCCACTTGTTCTCCGCTCGCCCGGCAGGAGATCAGGGGAAGAACACGGTGCCTCGCAATTAATTAGGGCCACCTTCCTCTGAAGAGGTCGGGCCCCCAGTGATGTGGAAGGTGCTCGCAATCTCCACTCGGCCTAAGTCCAGGCCAGGAAGCAGCGCCTTTACTCCACAGCCCAGCCCTGCCAGTGGCAGGAGGGCCGCTCCAGCGAGAGACAGGGAGGCGAGAAGGGAGCTGCAGCTCCATCCTCCATCCTCCGTCCTCTCACACAAGCGGATGAGGATGCTCCCTGACTTGGCTGCTGCACTCAGGAATTTCATTTACCAGGTTTCTTTTCTGAAAGGCATTTCTCTCAATTTAGTTCACAGGTTGTTGGTGGGTTCCTCTTCCTTTCTTCCCAGGAGCTCCTCTGGGCTCCTCCCCTCTCTGTGAGGGCCTAGGTCCCCCCTTTCCCGGACAGGGTCCAGCCTGCCTGCGCACTCTCTCAAGGGCCTCTGGGGCCAGAGGATGAGTTCCTAGGTGCTGTCGGTCTGTTCCGTTCAGCAGATGTTCATTGAGGACCGACTCTGGGAAGGCTCGGGACCAGGCCTGAAGCACCCGGGGACGGAAACCTCTGCTACCTGACCTCATGGAGTCTATAGATCAGTGACAGAGCCGGTTTGGGGGATGGGAAGGGAAAGGGCTGAGAGGGACCTCAGGAGTGGGGTTATATAAAGAGGGGGGGATGATGCAGATTCTGTGTCTCTCCAAACTGAGATAGCTCTCAGGCTTGTTGGGGGGCATACAAAGCTTCAGGAATTGTCAGTGCCTTCCAATGGAGCATCTAGGAATGTTACTCTCACCTTCCCACTCACCCGCCACCTGACCGTGTGCTGTTTTGTGTTTGACTGTTGGTTACTTGCGTCTCTGAGTTCTTGTCTCAGCCGGAGGACAAGTCTCTTCAGGGCAGTGCCACCGAATCCCAGCTGTTTCCCCTGAGCTTACTCAGCCCAGGGCAGGGTGGAAGTAGGTGCTCCACAGGCACTTGGCAAACACACTCATCGGGGGAAGGCAGGCAGCTGGAGGCGGGGGTAGGGCTCATGGCCAGTGGAGGCCTCAGAGGCTTGCTGGCTCCCCTTGATCCCCCCTCCCCAGTCTGTGGCTCTTGACACCTGCTTTGCTCCCAGACTTAAGGCCAACGGCTCAATGATGTGCTGCTCGCAGTATGCAGATGACACGGCGGTGAGCAGGGACAGGGCTGTGGACTATGCCCTCGCTCAGAGAGGAAAAAGAGATCTGGGTTTGGACCTCAGGCTCTCCAGTGCTTATCCACTTGAGTCTCCACACCTGTAATAGGGGAAGATGACATCTACTTCCTAGTGTTCTGAAGATTCAGTTAACGTGTGTGAAAAAAATGGTCAACATTGAGTGTTGCTTTGTGGCCTACAAAGGGATTTCCCATCCATGATCTTATTTGAACCTCACAGCAGGCAGGCATTCTTATCATTTCCACTTTACAGATGAAAAACTTGAGGTTCAGAGAGTGTAAATGACCTACTAGAGAGCACACAACTATTAGGAGGAGCCCAGCCTGACTTTGGCCGGTGATGCCTATCTTAAAAGGATAGCCGGCACGTGTCTGGGGTCTTAAAGTCCTTTCACGTCCAACTGCTTGTTCTTCCTAGGGGGAATGTATAAATGCGCAGTGTTGCTGTATATGAAACATTCAGGGCATGATTTTCATGAGATTGCCGCAGCCAATGAAACAGGGAGTCTTCGGTAATCACGTGGATCCAAGTGCTTCACTGGCCGTCTCTTACGGGTGACAATGATGGGTTACGAGGACTGTATAAGAACCGTTTATAACAATGTCTACCAGGTATAATGATAAGATCTGGTGAGATATTTTGATCGCACCACAATACACGAAAGTGTCTGTGAGAATTGTATGTGTTTCTTCATCTGACAGAACCTGCATTTATCTTCAGAAAACTTTGTCATGAACGAATTTAAATTATTCTTTCATGTCTGATTTCAGATGCTTTAAGTGGTACATCTGAGAATGAGATTGTTGATTACAGTGTTTACAAGGAAATGGGATGAATATTCTATTAATAACTATTAAAATCTGCTAGACTTAGGTTAAGCCTAAAATATATCTAGTTTTAATAAAATAAGGTGAACACCTTCCGTTTTCAGCCTGATTAGGGGAGAGGGTGTAGGGGCGAGAGTCTTAGGCTGAGGCTTGAAAGGAACAGCAACAGTTTGGCCAATGGGGAGGGAGGTTGCACAAGACAGGAATGGGATGGACTGGTGACAACCCAGGGCAACGCCTGGAAAGTGCTTGGCCCCTCATAGTTGGGCAATGAATGCAGAGGGACCAGGGTCCATTCATTGCCTTCAGCTTTGCAGACTACATCTCAGGGTGTTTCCTGTGAAAGTTCCAGAAGAAAACCACTGTGGTCAGCTTAGGGAATATGTGGTTCATGTTGGAACTCTGGAGATACCACATTACTGGAGAGGTGCACCCTGGATGACTGACAAGATGAAACTCAACTTTCCAGATGTTGGCAATGATAGGAGACTCAGTTCCAACGACCAGTTGTTTATTGAAAGAATGTTAGCTCAAGTCATAACAAATGCATTCTAACCCTGACAGCCACAGGAAGGGTACCAAGAATGAAGTGTCCCTGATCCCATGAAACAGCTCACTGGAATCTGTGAACTCTAGAACCTGGAATGGGAGGATTCTGACACCCTTGCCCCATGATCAGCCAAGACTGAGAATGCTGGGAGGCCTGAGGCTGCAGAGGTCTGGGCATCCGTGAGCCCACCCTCTCCCCAGGAGATCCCTCACTCATGAGGGGTCATGTGCAGGGCATGGGTGATGCAATTCCTAGATAGGACACTGGCTCCTGACTGTAAGTGGAATGTGCACAACTGGACTCTGGCAGGAGGTTTTGGTGCTGGTCAACCCATCAAACTAGGTAAGTCCTTAGAGCCTGAGGGGGAACAGGAGACTGCTCCATGCTTTGTCAGGGAATGGGAAGATGTCAGAAGGTGGGGCTAAGAACAGGTCTTTGGTGTTGAACAAACATGGCTTTGTACCTCAACTTTGACATCAACTGAGTAATTTTGAGTAGGTGGCTTCATTTCTTTGAGCCTCAGTTTCTTCATCTTCATCTGTAAGAGAGGGGTGGTGTTACAACTTTCTTGCTAGGCTATCGAGGGCAGTAAATTAGATAATGTTGTAGAGCACACAGCACTGTGCCTGACATATGGGCACTTACTACATAGTGAAGTAGTACCCTGGCCACTGTAGTCTCATGGGATGTCTGAGCAGGGGGCCCAGGAAGGGTCCTCTGACTTAAAGGTAGGTCTGGATCCTGGGCTTCTGGCAACACTTGGAGCTTCCTGATGGAGGTTTGGGGGAACTAGGGGACCACAGTCCAGTTCCCTGGTGGTGTCAAAGTGTAAAATCTCCATTCCTACCCTTCCTGTCCCAGATTCTCTCAAAGGCAGAATAGGACTGCGGGATGGCACTGGGCCAAGTGTCAGGAGAACTGAGATTGGCTCTGCCGCTCCCTGGCTGGATGACCCTGGACACATCCTGTAACCTACTGAGCCCTGGGTTTCTTCATTTGCAAACTGAGGGCAAGGTTGTCTGCTCTGTTTGTCACTGGATTACATTTAACCTCATTAGCCTGGCACTCAAGCTCCTTCCATCATATTCCCTGGCCTCATCTCCCGTAACTCCTCTTCAGGCCCATATGGTCCTGCCAATCCAAACTTTTCTTAGCATTCCCTTCATACCTAGACAGAACCTTCCTGCCCAGGTCTTTGTGAGTCTAAATCCTATGTACCTTTGCATCCCCTGCAGTATCTAGCACAGAGTCTTGCATAAAATAGATGATTACTTTATCAGTTAGGATTCGGCTTGGTTACATGTGACTGTAAAATGAAAATAATAGTAGTTCAAACAAGATAGAAATTATTTCTCTTTCATGGTAAAGAGGTCCAACAGAAGATAGCCCAGGGCTGGGATGGTGGCTGCAGGTATCAGGGACCCACACTCCTTCTGTCTTGCTGCTCTACTATTCTTAGCACATCACCTCATGGTCCACTATGGCTGCCAAGTTTCAGGCATCTTATTTTCATCCAGCCAGCAGAAAAGAGAGGAGAAAGAGGGCAAAGAGTGTATTCTCTCCTGTTAAGGAGGGTTCCTGTGTGCTACACATGACACTTCTGCTCATATCTTATTGGCTAGAACTTAGTCACATGGTCATTTGAGCTGCAAGGGAAGCTGGGGAGTATAGTTGTTAACTGAGCATGTTGCCATTTCTAACAAAATTGATAGGGAAGAGGGGGAGAATGGACATTAGCATATCCACATGTTTGCTTCTGCCACAGTTATTAAAAGAAAAAAAAAACACTCACTACCAAGTTTAAAACCCCAGATAACGGATGAGATTATGATTACAAAACACTTACCTTTGAAATGGTATGGATATGCTGATCTTTAGATTGGAAATAGCCCTATTCTTCTTCACCTGTGGTAGGAACATGCTGACACATGTTTTTCATAGAATGATAACTCAGAGCTGTAAGTGAAGATAAATTATCAGTCCTTCTCCTTATTGCATTTTACCAAAGAGGAAAGTGAACTCCAGAAAGACTAGGTGATTTGCCTGTGGTCACGTAGCTGATTTGTGAAGGAGTCGGGACTACAACTTGTGTGTCTGGACCCCATCGAATCTTTTTCCTGCTTCTCCTTGGTGAGTGGCCCATTCAGGTTCTGGAGGCCTTGAATTCTGTGGGCCTCCCAATCCTGGCTGGGGACCCTGCTTACCCAGCACCCCTGGAGGCAGATCTGAGTCACCATGTTGTCAGCTGCATTCCTGTCAGCGTGCAGTTCAAAAAGCCTTCAGCATGGAGAGAGGGAAAGATCAAGAAGTAGACAAACATGTTATTTAAATAATAAGCCCTTTTTGCCAAAAGTAAATAATTACCTCCTTTCCTTTGCATGTAGAATACATAGGATCCTGACTTAGGCACTGAAGGGAGCTACCGGGAAGCATAAGAAACGGTTGTTGCCCTGGAGGATTTGGATGTATGGACTCATTCTTCTTTCCAGTCATTCATTCAAAAATTACTTCTTGAGCATCAACGAGAGGCAAACACTGGGCTCAGCACAGGAAATACAACAGTAAATTGGACAGATATGGTTCCTGCTCTGAAATTACTTATAGTCTAGTAGGGGACAGAGACCAGTAAACAGGCAAATATAAAGTGGAATTAAAAATGCAGTGATGAGGGGGCTGGCCCCGTGGCTGAGTGGTTAAGTTCGCGCGCTCCGCTGCAGGTGGTCCAGTGTTTCGTTGGTTCGAATCCTGGGCGCGGACATAGCACTGCTCATCAAACCACGCTGAGGCAGCGTCCCACATGCCACAACTAGAAGGACCCACAATGAACAATATACAACTATGTACCGGGGGGCTTTGGGGAGAAAAAGGAAAAAAATAAAATCTTTAAAAAAAAAAAATGCAGTGATGAGGAGGGGACAAGGTACTCTGCATATGTCACCTAGAATGGGATGTGGGGGGTTCAAGGCTTAGTGGGTGAGATAACATCGGAGACCTGAAGACTGAGTATGTGTAGGCCAAGCAGGCACTGTGTAAGGGGCACAGAGAGTGGGAAGGAAGAGTATTCCAGATAGAATGTACAAGGGAACGTGTGTGTAAGGAGCTGAGAAGGCTTATCATGACCAAGAGTGTGGCAGGCCTCAGTGCTGGTGATGGCAGAGGGGGTAGGGGAATGGAGAGAAACGTGACTAGAAAGGTAGGCAGGAATCAGTAAATGAAAGGCTTTGAAAGGCCTGTTGGAGAGTTTATATTTATCTTGAGGCCAGTGGGATAAAGGACTTGAAGCAGATTTGTGTTTTAGAAAGAGTTCTCTAGCCTCAGTGTGGAGAATGGACTGGAGGGGCAGGTCCAGAAACAGGAGATCACTTAGGAGGCTGTTGCAGTGATGGTGGCCCACACCAGAAAATGGCCCTGAAAGGTGGTTGATGGATTTGAGATATCTTTGAGAGGTACAACCAACAAGCTTTAGTGACTAGTTGGAAGCAAGAAATGGAAAAGATGGAGGAGACCAACATCCACAAGGGAAAAAATTAAAATAAAGACAGATGTTAACAAAGAAAGTCATAGAATAAGAGCTATCCAGAAAGAAAATGGCGGCATAGCCATGTGTTTTAAGTAAGAGCTAATTGCTATGGGTTAGAAAGATTTTTGTGGGCTTCCTGGAAGATCCAGAATTAGAACTGGGCCTGATATATGGGTAGGATGGTGGTGAGTGGAGAATACATCCCAGGCTCAACAAAGAGGCCTGTAAGAGTATTGAGGCAGAACAGTTGATTTGTTTAGCAGATGTTTTGGTGATGGTTTTCCTGGGAGAGCCCCAAAAAAGCTGGTTCTCTGGGGGCACAACTAAGACTCATGCTGAAGGGAGGGGCTGGGGACATGAATCTCATCACTCTCCCAGAATGGTAAAGAGTTCTTCATGTCCCCAAAGACACTTGTGTCGGAACCTCAAGGGCTCTGTGGACCACTAGACAGCCCATCACCAAAACCCCACAGATCCCAGCTTCTACCAGGAGAAAGATGAAAGTCCTCTTTTCCCAAAAGAAATGCTTTTATGCTTGTGGGTCTTCTGCAGTGACCCAGGGCCCCATGTTGAGAGCTGCTGTCCCAGGGTGTTGCCTCACTATTTCTGGGCCCCTGCAGAGCCCTCCCTGGCAGGCTGCATTGGTGAGTGAGGCCTGTGAACCCATTAAGGAGCTGCTTGGACCCAAGGCTGTGGAAGACACAGCTGCGTAACTGGCTATGGAGCAGCCCCTCTGGCTCAGGGGATGAGTCTTGCCAGGCACCGTGCCCTGCCTGAGCCCCCTGCCCCTCTGGGTACTGGCCCTAGCCTGCATTTTTTTGTGTGTGTGTGTGGAAGATTAGCCCTGAGCTAACTACTGCCAATCCTCCTCTTTTTGCTGAGGAAGACTGGCCCTGAGCTAACGTTCGTGCCTATCTTCCTCTGCTTTATATGTAGGACACCTACCACAGCATGGCTTTTGCCAAGCAGCACCATGTCCGCACCAGGGGTCCGAACCAGCGAACCCCAGGCTGCCGAGAACCGGAACGTGCGAACTTAATCGCTGCGCCACTGGTCCGGCCCCTAGCCTGCATGTTAATGGCACCCTGGTCCTATGTGCTCTAGCTCAAAACCCACTGCCATCTCCTGCTTTGGCCTAGCCTCCAGGCTCCGACATTGGCTCTGATCTCAGGACTGCCACAGTCTTCCCAGGGACCTCTTTCTGGGGCACTAGCCCCTGATGGTGACCTCTAAGGTAAATAATGATAACTTCTAATTGACCAGCAGCACCGCCTGAGGACCCACCATACCTCTGGGGCTGTGCTGGACTCTTTACTACATCCTCTCTAATGCTCACCACCCTCTTGCCAAGCACGTTATTCTCCCATTTTATCGAATTAGAAACTGAGGGAGAGTAAAGGACTGTCCAATGCCGCCCAGCCTCCCTGTCCACTGTCCTACACATCCTGTGTATGAGCCAGAGCAAGTCCAGGGGACAATCATGATTGGCAGGCGTTGTGCTGGGCACTTCACAGATGTTGCATTTTATCCTCACAAGGACCTTATCGGGGTGGGTACTACTATTCTCTTTTCACAAGTGAGAAAAAGACTCAGAGAGGTTAAGTACTTATCCCAAGGTCACCTAGCCAGGAAGTGACAGAGGCAGGATCCAAACCTAAGTCCGTCTGACACCAAAGCGTCCTCTCTCCACCTCTCCAGGTACCTAAGCCAGGTGAGAGTTGAACCTCCTTTCCCGATTCAAGTTTTCAATGCCAAGGTGGGAAAGCACGTGATTCAGGGAAACAGTTACAGTGAGGTCGTGTGCCCCAATCCTTTCCCAACCCCTCTTGGGTGATCCTTGTGCGGTTTTTAGAGATGGGAAAACTGGGGTCCAGAGACGAGCGAGGGCTTCACAGGGCACCATGCCACCACTCTATTTTCTCATCCTTTTGGCCCACTCCATGCCACAGAGACATGGCTCCCGGGGTTCAGCCCATGACCCAAGCTTGGTGCCTACAGTCTGCTCCCCCCACCCCTAGCTTTCTGTTCCATGGCCAGGACTACTCAGCTTTTGATTCAGTTTGAATGAGTCATTAAGTGTAAAACAAAGAAGAGAAGGCTTATTCCCTTGCTAGATGAAATGAACCCACCCACCTTTTGACTTCTTTTTGTTCTGCAATGATGACAGTATGAAATGACTCAGATTTGTCACACTCAAAGAGACTACTTTGTATTTTTCTTGAAAGTGAAGAGACAATGTGTGAATAAATGAGCCGAAAATGGCTCCCGAAGGGAGGAAAGGATGACCTCCGGGCACGTCAATGCAGAGTGGAGGCTGAATGAATGTGCAAGAATGGGAGGCAACAGCAGCAATTCCTTGGCAGAGAGGAGAGCTGAGTGGAAGCAGATGTGGGGGCCAAGCAGCAAAGCCCTTCAAGGGCACTCACTAGCAAAACCTGAAGAAGCTACCACGGATCTCCAAGCCTGCTTGACTTAAATCCAAGCACATTCACAGGCAGCTGGAGGGAGTGGAGGAAAGGTATTTTTAAAAGAGTCATCATATGCGGGGTGGGGGATGGAGAACTTTCGGTTTCTATTACCTCTCTGCTCCAAGCAGCCTGGCCAGGGAAAATCAGGGCCTGGGAGAGGGGCAGAAATGTCTTGGAGTCAACTCTCAACACTGTGCCCCTCTTGGGAGGAATGAGCTGAGAGGATCTAGTCTACTATAGTCTGCCCTTCAAATGTGGGGTAACTGTCCCCTCGCTCAGTAGCCACAGCTCATCTTTGCTCTGGCATTGCCCAGGGACTCTTGTTCTTGGTGGTGGGAAAGACGACAGAATTGGAAGTCGGAAGAGTTGGCCCTTTCTCCAGCTTACCGCTGGATGGTCTGGGATAAAACTCTCAACTTCTCTCAGATTGTTTCCTCTGAGGACACAGGAGGTGATTGCTACCACCTACCTCAGAGGATGGTGGTTGGGAGGATGAAATGAGATGCTGCATGAAACGAGAACAGCTCTGTTAACTGTAAGATACTGTACACATGGTAGTTATTATTGTGTTTCCAGACATAGAATTAACATTCTGACAGACTTGACATCAAACTAGAAATCTGAGGCAATGGGGGCATTCCGCTCAATTATTTAGCCTCTGAAAAACATGATGAAATTGGAAATGCTTTTATTGAAAGTAAAAAGTTTTCTGCAGAGCTTCCTTTCCTTTGCAATCAATTCCAGGCTCCCCATGGTGCTCAAAGGGCTCTGTAGGAAGCTGCTGGGGAAAGCCAACCTCCATTCTGGTTACTATGAAACTCCATTTTTGGTTCTATGAGCATCTCCACTTCAGTTACTTGCACTATTACAAAGGGTGGAAAGACTTCTTGGCAGGAAAGTGGTTTCTTGTTTTGTAGCATTAGGGTTTGATAAATGTTATCATTTTTTAACAGAAAAAGTCCACGTAGGAGCTGATAATGGGTGTTATTTTAGAGCTGGGAGAGACTTAGAAGACCATCTAGTTCAATCCTGACATTTGCCAGATGAGGAACTGAGGCCCAGGCAAGGGGGCTGATTTGCCCTGGGTCTCACACTTGAGTCAGTGAGCCAAGATTAATCCCCAGGTGTGTGTTCCTATTCATGTGCTCCTTCCCTTACCCCAGGGTCAAAAACTCAGACGTCTTCAGGATCCAAGCAGGTGAGGAGGACGGCTTTGGCAGGTAAGACAATAGGGAGTGGTGGGATGTTCAGTTCAGTTTTAAGTTTATCCTGTTTGGGTTTTTCCAAGCTAGTTGAATCTGCAAATTTATGTCTTTCACCAATTTGGGAAATCTTCAGCCATTATTTTTTCAAAAATTTTTTTCTAGACCAATCTTTTTCTTCTCCCCTAAAAATTACAATGACATGAATGTTAGACCATTTGGATATTGTTCCACAGATCCCTGAGGTTCTATTCATTATTTTGCAAAAACTTTCTCGTTCTTCGGATTGGATAATTTCAATCAATCTATCTTCTAGTCTGCTGACTCTTCCCTCTGTCATTTGCATTCTGCTATTGAGCCCATCCAGTGAATTTTTTATTTCCGATATCACATTTCTCAGTTCTCCAATTTCCATTTGGCTTTTTTTGATAGTTTCTATTTCTCTACTGACAACTTCTATCTTTCCATTTATTTCAAGAATGTTTACCTTTACATTATGAACGATGGTTATAATAGCTGCTTTAAAATATTTTTTTCTAGTAATTCCAACATTGTCTTGTCTTTTTTCCTTGAAGGTTGGTCAGAATTTCCTGGTTCTTATCACGTTGGGTAATTTTAGATTGTATCCTGGACATTTTGTATGGGATATTATAAGACTCTGGTCCTGTTAAAATCAGAGCATGTTGTTTTGTTTTGTTTTGTTTTAGCAGGCAATCAAAACAGTTCAGTTCAAACTGCACGTTCTGTCTTGTCTTCTGTAGGTAGTTCAGGTTTCAAAGGCTTTGCTGTGCTGTTCGGCACATGCGTTCCTTGGAGGTAAGCCTAGTACTTACGTTGCTTCATACACAGAATCCCTTTACCCCACTTTTTCCTCTGCAGAATTTCCCTCACATTCTTCACCTCCTAGGATCCCCTTTCCCTGATCTTCTGGCTAGAAAGATAGGGATCTCTCTTAGAGTTATAGCCCCTGATGATGTCACAAAGTTTCATGCCACTGGGCCTGCTCCAAGGGCAAAATGGCAAGAGAGAAGAAAAAGAAATGAGGACTCTCCTCATACTCCCCACATCACAGGGGCCCCATTTCTAGGTTCCTCCATCCAGAGGTACAGGTTTTCTCTCAGGGATTTTAGGTGTCCATGCTGCTGCCATGATGGTGGCAATGTAGTTTTGGAGCTGCATCTGGCCTTCCGGCTAGGCTGAGAGAGAAAAAAAAAATGAGAAAAAAGAACAAGGATTTTCCCCACACTCTCTGGATTGAAGGAGCCCTTTGTCCAGGTCATCTGGACAGGAATAGGAGCTGTTCTTGGAGTTGTTGCTCTTCATGACTTCTGTGCAGTTTCATTATTCAGCTCACCTTTGGGCCAAAGCCGGGAGAAAAATTCCAGGAAACTCGCTGCCACCATACTGATAATCCATCAAGTTTTGATTTCTCTCCCCAATACACCTGCTTTTATTTACTTTTTCAGAGTCCTATTTAATTGCTTTGTCATATTTTTCCAGAGGATTTAGTGGGAAGGATAGAGTGCAGTGCACTTCTTCCATTTGGTTGGAGCTGGAAGTCTAGCAACACCCTTGGAATTTGGTTGGTGTCCCCCTAGGACTTACTGGTAGAGGCCCACTGAAAGAACCTGTACTGGGGGATCCCATATCCCCAGGCCAGGTGGTGCCAGGACCCAGGGATCTATGACTCCAAGTTTTCTATATTACTTGGGTAGATACTTGATATAGATGTTCACTCAACAAAGATATATCGGTTGACCTTATGTGCTATATCCTGGGGATACAAAAAAGGCTAAAATATGATCTTTCCCCTCAAGGAGCTCATAGTCCAGTGGAATAAAAGGAATTTGGGCTAAAAATTCAGGATCCAAGCTGGGAATCCTTCTCAAGGCCTCTCAGGGGCCCTAGAACCACAACACATTGTCTGAGAGCATTTCCCAGCCCAATTCTGGGGCTTGCCTTTCTAGAAACCATCTTTGATTGCCTCTCTCCTCTGAGAAGAACCAAGTGTAAAGCACTTCCAAAAAGCAGTGTATATAAAGCGCTGCTTTTAGTTTTGTGAAATCTACAAAATGCTGAGATTACTCTGGGTAACAGTCTTCTTGCCTACTAAACATAGTCTTAGAGAACACAGTCTGGTTCAGGGCTCCAGAACTCAAACGGGAAGAGTTTGGAAAGTGTCCAGAGTAGCACTTGAAGTGGAAAAAGGATAGAATCTGATATTT